CCGGGAAATGCACTTGCAGAGGAGCTCGCTGCGTCTCCATTTACCTATTTCCGGCGGCGGACTTCCAAGGTCTTCTGGCTTTCCCATATATTCCCCAAGTGCCTTCTGAAGGCCCTCCTCAATCTCCTTCGTCCTTTTTACTCTTAGCTGCCAGGCGTATAAAGTATCTGACGCGGGAGCTGCTACGGTTTCGGGTGCTCGTCCAGATGCAGCCCGGCCCACAGCCATCCTCCCATCCCTTCCCAAAGCCGTGCGGCCCACACTAAGAGACGCACAAACGAAGAGCGCCAAGATGAGACATACTTTAAATGCAACGCTATAACGTCCTGACGATTGGGGTATCCCCCCAGGATGTGCCGCTGGCACGCTCAACTGCTGTTCCCCCTGGGCCTCGATCGTGGATAAACCACCTGTGCCTCCACCCCGTTCAACCACAGAAGGGCCATGATTCTGGGTCTCATCCAATGGCTTGGTTTCGCTCATAGGCATTAACCCCAGGCCCTCTGGCGCTTTCTTTCCCATCGAGGCGGGGGGTGCCGCGTATGGTCCCCAGCTCCACAAACCTGGAGATGGAACTCGGTTTCCTAAGCTACCAGTGCGCCAAAATCAAAAATCAGAGAGTTTAGGCGCAAGAATCCAGGGTATAAACAATAGGCACCGAGTTCGGGGCGGACTGGAGGAGCCGGAGTTTCGAGGAAGAGCAAGTTCCGGCTTGTGGCTCTACCACGTTCCAGAAACTCAAAAAGGACAATTAGAAATGTAAAAGAATATACAAAGTAAACGAGAGGGAAACCCGAGCGCGCCTGTTTGGAGGGAATGGTCTATGCATAGTGAAAACCAAAGCGGGACCGATGTTGTACTGCACGGCGGCCATTCGCTGTTACTACGTATGTTCTGTAATGACCTCATGTGTGTTCAACCGACTGAATGGCACTGCGAAACTAAAGGTTACGCAAGGAATTCATCCGTACAGCGATTAATTAGTCGAAAATGTCAGTTATTGTCGTAGTTTCAAAGGAATTTTTTCGAGAAATAGTCTCTA